CCCCTATTCCCCCTCTCATGCTGCTCCCAAAAAAGTCCGAGTCTGTCATGGGTCCCGGTACGGCCTCCCATTGTGCTGTCTCCATCGCCACCCCTTCTCCCTTTTTTTTGCCACTTTTAGGTCTCCTCACACACTGTTTGAGGTGTTCAATTTTTTTTTTTGACATTGGGTGCGGCAGATTACGGGCCCCCATAGCTGCTCCCAGGCCCCTAATTTCCGGGGCCCCCTTTTTCCCGTTTTCCTTTTGTTGCTGCCAGGTCCCCATTTGTCTCAGGGCCATTTTGCCACTTTAAAGGTTCTCCCCCAAAATGCTTGGTGTGTTGATTTTTTGATAGGGTGCTGACGATCTCTGGGCCAGCCTATAGTGCTGCCAGGCCCTACTTGGCCGGTAGTTCCCTATATAACCGCCTCCTCATGCTGCTTCCAAGTCCAGAGTCTAACAAAGGGTCCTTTACAAACGGGCCTCTCCATTGCTGCTTTTCCATCGCCACACTCTGCCATGTGCCACTTTCAGGTCTCCTCACACAGCTGGCTGGTGTTTCAATTTTTTTGACATAGGCGTGCTGGCAGATTACGTGCCTCCCATAGCTGCTGCCAGGCCCTAATCTGCCATGGGCCCCTGTACCGAACCTCCATCCATGCTGCTAGCAGTGCCGTTTCAAACAGAGGTGCCAATTTCAACTCCTCACACTATGTTACTACCAGCCCCATAGTTCATTTTTTGACATCCGGGTGCACGGCACGAGACAATGGCCCTCCTACAGATTGCCTGCCAGGCAACCAAGAGCGGATCATGGTACTCCCTGTGTAACTTAGATGTCAGAGCCTTGGCAGCTCATGCGTGACACATGCGCTTCTCAGGTCCCTTTGAGTGAGTCCAACGGCTATTTCTTGATAGTCGGTCAGGACTATGGGATGAACGACTCATTCCTCTGTTGCACGTCCTGGAACAAATGCTGTTGAACAATGGCTGGTCAGGGTGGGTAGACGTGGCGCACAGATCTCAACGCCACATGACCCCTGTGGGGTGCAGGAACAGGAAGAAGAGCGAGGAGGCCCCCTAGAGAGGACATTGGTGACGTTGCAACAATTGGAATTATTGAGTGACATGGGTGGTTTTTCCACTCAGACGAACAGAGTGGAGGAGCATAGATTTCATCTGGTAGAGGAGGAGGAAGGAGTACTCCAGAGGACCTCATGACGCACCGTGGCATATGCTGTGGAGGTCTGGGAGTCAGGGAGTCCCTCGCATTCCTTCACAAATGGCCCATAGCATGCTCGTTGCTTGCGTAGCGACAGCGGCCATCTTAAATAACCATCAGACAGAGGACGTGACTTTTGGCTACGTCCACCTTGTTGGACCCTCGCTAACCATTCAAAAATGGTGGCCCTTTTTCACACCTGCTGAGAGGGAGGCCAAATCACAACAACGAACTATAACAACCTTACCTATGTAGGTACAGCTGGTCTCTGCCTGTCTGCAGCCAACGTCCATCCTTCAGATGACACTGTGGGGCCCTTGTGCGCTCGGCGTTCCCAGCTGCCTGGCAGCAGGGGAGGGGTGAGGGATGGTAGAGAGCAGTGGCAGCTCCCAGCCAACGCAGCATCTGGCCTCATTCTGCAGTCGAATGATGAGTAGCAGGGAGTTCCCTCTATCACCAGCGCAGAGAGGAAACTAACTAGCCAGCCGCAGCAGCAAGCAGCAGCGCAGCATCAGGTGGACCTGGATGCAGGACCTCAAACAACAAGGGACTTACAGGCCTACTTGGACCCTCGCACCCTGCCCAACCGAGAGGTAGGACTAATCAAATCCCTTGACTACTGGGCAACGAAACTAGACCTTTGGCCCCAACTAGCTGAATTTGCTGGTCCCTTTAATAGGCTGTCATGCCCGGCCATAGCGTCGGTGCCTCGGAGCGCGTGTTTAGTGCTGGCAGGAGGAGTATTAAGCAACTACCGCGGCAGGACACGACATGTCACCCAAAGTGGTGGAGAGGACTGCACGATTGGAGCTAACTGACATACAGGCCTGGATTATCTGGAGTAGCTTCTTCAACCAGCCAGTTCTCCTGAGACACAACTGACTAACCATCCGCCATGAATCATGCCCCAACATGTTGCCACTTTCAGGTCTTCCTCACACTGCCTGGTGTGTTCCTTTTTTGTCATAAGGGGTATTGGCAGATTACAGGGCCTTCCCATAGCTCTGCCAGGCCCCTAATCTGCCATAGGCCCCTATAACCGCCTCCTCATGCTGCTGCCAAGTCCAGAGTCTCTCATGGGTCCCTGTACGGCCTCCCATTGCTGCTGTCTCCATCGCCACACTCTGCATGTGCCACTTTCAGGTCTCCTCACACTGCTGGTGTGTTCCATTTTTTTGTCATAGGGTGCTGGCAGATTACGGGCCTCCCATAGCTGCTGCCAGGCCCCTAATCTGCCATGGCCCCCTATACCGCCTCCTCATGCTGCTGCCAGGTCCAGAGTCTCTCATGGGTCCCCTCCTTACACTGCTGGTGGGTTCCATTTTTTGTCATAGGGTGCTGGCAGATTACGGGCCTCCCATAGCTGCTGCCAGACCCCTAATCTGCCATGGGCCCCTGTACCGACTCCTCATGCTGCTGCCAGGCCCGTAATCTGTCATGGGCCCCTGTTGTCGCTTGTTGGCATATTCCGCTTGTTCAGATGCTCCTTCTCCTGCTACTCCTCTTCACGGATTCCGTCAGCAGTCTTTCTTGGAATCCGTTTCCAAGAGACAACAGTTTGTGAGCACGCCACCGACGGTGCAGAAGCTGAACGTCCTCCTGTCCAAGTTGCTGCTGCCAGGCTCGTAATCTGTCATGCGCCCCTGTACCGCCTCCTCATGCTGCTGCCAGGTCCAGAGTGTGTCATGGGCCCCCGTACCGACTCCTCATGCTGCTGCCAGGCCCGTAATCTGTCATGGGCCCCTGTACCGCCTCCCCATGCTGCTGCCAGGTCCAGAGTGTGTCATGGGTCCCTGTACGGCCTCCCATTGCTGCTGCCAGGCCCGTAATCTGCCATGGGCCCCCGTACTGACTCCTCATGCTGCTGCCAGGCCGTAATCTGTCATGGGCCCCTGTACCGGTTCCTCATGCTGCTGCCAGGTCCAGAGTGTGTCATGGGTCCCTGTACGGCCTCCCATTGCTGCTGTCTCTATCGCCACACTCTGCCATGTGCCACTTTCAGGTCTCCTCACACTGCTGGTGGTTTCCATTTTTGTCATAGGGTGCTGTATGGCCTCCCATTGCTGCTGCCTCCAAGGCCACACTGTGGCTCCACACTCTGGTTTTGGCCCCGTGACTGCCCAAATGAGTGAAGTGTGCGGTGATTCTAAGATCGACGGCACTCATCTGCATGTCATACTGACTGACAGTATTATTTCTCTTCCCCAGCAGACTCCAAGGGCATTTAAATTAAAGGTACAGTGTTCTGCACTAATGTTAAGTCTCTCTGAAGCCTAGAAACACCCTTTTTTAAGTTAAATTCACAGCGAATATATTCGACTCGAATCAAAATTTTTCCACGAATTCGCCGAATCAGTCTAATCGAATTTTTGAATACTTCGCTCATCTCTAATGCAGACCATCTCTTTTGTACAGCTCAATGTCAGACCACCAAATAGCATCATTACTAACATAACCAAAACCTTCAGCTTTGCACCAATCCTTTAACCAAACATTGAACATATACAAAGTACAATATACTTATATTAATACTATACAAAGTTCTTTCTCTTGTTCTCTAATATGCACAAGTAAGACCTCCAAAAATGTAACTGTACCCCCTAATTGTTGAAGATCCTGTCCCAAATACTTAAAATCCTTCTGTACAGAACACACATCATTCTGGGACAAATCAGTTGTGCCAAGTTGCATGACAACATCAACATTGCACTCTTCACTAACTTTTTGACAATCTTTATAAATAAGTCTTTTATCTCTCCTAACAGTAGCACTGTGTAAACATCCAACTTCCTTTGACACTTCCATATGATTTCCTAAAGAAACACCTCTTACAACTGAATCACCAATAATATGGCTTCTCCTTTTAGGAGCCTTTTCCACAACACTTGCCTGGAATGGAACCTCAGATAAAACAATTACCTTTGGCAAAGCAATTTTTTTTCTCCTCCTTCCTATACTCACAAAATCAGCTACATTTTCACCCTTGCAGTGTCACACCAAATACTACATGTATATTGTCCACAGGTCTCACTCTTCCTGACCCAGCAGTTGTCCAACAGTTTTTTCAGGGCAGCTCAACAGAACAATTTGGCTTAGACAGTCTCCTGATCTCAGACTGCAGGGCAACAACCAATGAATTTAGACAAGCAGTGTCATCATGTGGGCTAGAAATCTGCATACAAATGGGACACCATCCCAGCTTCCAAAAACCACCACAAAAAAACAAATGCCAAACAAGTATTGCACTGAACTAAACCAGACATTTTAAAAAATATCTACTCAAATTCAAACACAAGTACTAAGCAAAGATAGTTGGCTGTTTACAAACTCCTGCTGTTTTCAAACTACTGCTGTTCAAACCATACACTTTTGTCCTGCTGCACTTGCAACAAGAAAAGTATACAGAGTAAACTCTACAGAGTTGCTATCCCTCTTAAATACAACACCAATTAGGCACCAATTAGGACAACAGGTCACCTCTCTTACATGTGCTAATTGATAACACCCAGTACTCAACACATGCTAATTGATAACATTCAGTACTCAACACTTCAGCAGCACAAAAACAATTACTTCAATACTAACAATAACCAGTAGCAACACAGACCCAATATCAAGGTTTAAAAAAGTAAACAATTTAAAGAAAATAAAATACAAATACTGTAAAGAATTTAGAAACAAGAAGTTTCACTCACACCAGTCCAGTTCCAGTTTAGCTTTCAGAAGAACACACCAGTGAAGGCTAACCTCCCTCCCTTCATTATGTTTGTTAAAGTCACATACATAACTAGATCACATTTTAATATATTGATTTGTGAGTAGCGATTTGTAAGAAATATGTTCATTGTATGCATTTGTACAAGCATATTGTAACTTCAGTTTATATGATTGTATTGCAGTTTTACAAATTCAGTGTTGGAATGAAACACAATGCTGATTCAGTCGGTTTTGCAGGCTGTCAGCTAACCATTAGTAGGACAGCATACTGCACACTATTGTGGCTTTTGTCTCTGAAACATTATATATATTACTTCCAGATAAAAGTCTGCCTGGTCTCTTCCTCTTAATTTGTGGTCTAATATGAAGGCTTACATACTGTGAGTCTGTACAATATTTTTGGCTGTTGTCTCCGAAATGATATACTCTGATTTGTATTTTGCAGTAAAACCTGCTTCTTCTCTCCATTTAAAATTACTTCCTAGTAAAGCTGTTTCCATATTGTGCAGCTAGTCTGTACAATATTTCTGGCTGTTGCCACTTTACTTTTAATTTAATGATAAAAATTGCCTTATCACTCCCGCTTACATTGCAGCAGAATCAAGTTGTTTACATACTGTCCAGCCACAGTACTATATGTGTTGCCATTGAATCTGAAATGTTGTGCCGTAATTTTTATTTTGAGATAAAAACTGCTTCATATCTGGAATGTGAAGTTTTGACTTCAAAGTGTTCTTGTACGTTCTGTTTTGGTATTTTATTACCTTTTCAGGACAATGCTGTGTGGTACTACAAAAAAGAAGATCTCAAGCTATACTATGAAATGGTTTTGCCATTGGATAATTTTACAAAGTGCATTATTTTTTACAGTATGCTTTCCTATAACTTTAAGATCTGTTTCTGCTTTTACCATTCAATTCAGGCCTATTACTGCTGCATAAAAAGATCAGATGTCACAAAAAAACTACTGCAATACCACAAAAGTAAAAAAAAAAAAAAAAAAAAAAAAATTACACATCTAAACTATGCATGTTGCTAAATGCTGTTCATGAGAATTGTACTGTTCAACAACACCACGTATAAGTTAAAGACATTTCCCAAGTATGTAATCTAAAGAAGCTCATTCTTTTCAATGCCACCCGTTCAGTTTACTATTTGTTTTATTGTTGTAACAGCAATTAGACCAAAGATAAAGCACATTTTAAGATGCTAAGCAGAGTTATCAGTGTTTAAATATATACATTTGATGCGTTCTGGCTCTGAGGAAGAGGTTTTACCTTGAAACGCATCAGCCTTTAGTTGGCCCTCGGATGGCACTTTTTTGATGTTGGGGCTTTTGGTTCTCTGTGGAACACATACACAGTGACTGTCACTTGATATGTGATTAGCCTACACTCGTTTGTGAGTATATGTAATTTATTTTTAATAAATTTGTATATCTGAGACAATGCGCTAGGCCAGTGCACTTTTGTTTAATTTTCTTTGTAGGTTTTTATTTTTTTGGTTGTGTCCCTGTTTGGGTAATTCATCTGTATTGTTTTAATGATCATTGTCAAAGGGACTGAAAAATATGTTGTGTTGTTACAGGAGCAAGAATAGCTCCAATGGGGACACTTGCTCTAGTTACAACAAACTAAAAATGGATTTACCCTAAATTTTGGAGAGGTTTCCTCTCACTTCCCCTTTAAATCTCCAAGACATAAATTTAATAACTTTGGCTCAAAGTGCTGTAGGATCTTTTGGTATGTAAAATGTAAGCACCCAAAACAGTTGATTTATATTTATTTTTAGAGATTATGTCCACCAATGAGGCATTGTTAATAAGGCTGTGTGCTTAGAATACTTATGAGCAAAGACCTCAACAAACATCATCTATGTTTCAGAGCAAACATTAGGAGCCAGTTCATACTTGTGAAGAGAGCTGTGTTTTTCTGCACCCTCACATGACACCAAGCATGAGAGGTGATTAATTCTAACAAAGCAAATATATTTTTGCACTCTGGTACTAACTAGTACTCCGGTATTCCACTGCTCTCTCAATTTCTCTCCCTCACGCATCTAACATGAGCCTAGTTCTGACAGAGAGGGGCAAATGAGAATGCTGTGCAGGTGCCCAACGTCCTCTTTTTCAACCTATGATGTAATCTGTTTGGATGTTCGGGGGTGACGCATGCAATGCCCAAGGCTGTTTTGCTGCACATTGAAAACCTGTGGCTTTGTACAACAAAAAGGAAGGCTTGATCCACCCACAGGTTTTTGCACAATATTTGAGCAATTTGGGACAATTCATAGGCATTTTGCCAAGCTACCCCTGAAGAACCCAGACAGCATCCCAGGGTAACATGACATCCTGGTTGCTAAATGCTGGTTTAAATAGTTGACACAAATGTATGTGTTAGGACCCTCTTGAATAAAGTACATGGTGGTGGTGTGTATCGGAAAGTACTGGTGACTCCTGACTGCCATTTACCCACACTAGGAAGAACAATCCTTGGATGTAAAACACAGTTACTAAGTGACCACTATTAGTTGAAATGGTTCAACAAACGTAGAGAGGAACTACTGGTTTCTTTAAGAAACTAGATAGTGGACCTCAGAGATGTTACAGGCTAAAAGCTGTCCAGGAACATTGTTTCTTCACCCAAAAACTAAAAGCAGACATGGATGTAAAACTAGTCACAAAATTATTGATGTAATGTGTGTTCCCACTGAATGATTCTGAACCACATCTTATTAAAATAAAATGTATTTATAATGCGAGTGTGAAAACATTTTTTACAAGAAAAAAAAACATGTTCTGAGAATTTTCTGCTTGTACTTTTATTTACTCACCACATAGTAGAGATAGAGATTTGAAGAATGTTTTTTTGCTATACTGTGTTTTTTATGGATTGTCAAAATATGTCTTTTTAAAATGAATAAAAACGAATTCTGGGTAAATGGAAGTAAATAACTGTGATTTAACATAGCACTTGTTTGTGTTTTAGACAATTAAGTTTTAGACAAATGTACAGAAAACTCCCTTAGCAAAAACAAGCATGGCACTGATTTGCTAACAGTGAATCTACATATGAAAAAATATTTGTGCAAGCCTATATACCCGGATGGTAAAGGACTTCTCCATCAGCATTGTTAACTGTAGTAGAAACAGATCCAGACTACTACAACAGGAATGGTGCTTTACATAAGAACTTCCACAGCTATGACACTAGGCAATCTAATTATAAAACTTTAGTTGGAAAAATGTCACATTTTTTCAGGCTGCACAAATTTTGGCTACAATTTCTCATTGAGGTATTTTAGAAAACATTACCACATTTTGACCAGTACATAGAGCTAACTCTCATAGGAATTAATCGAAGACAGAAATTACAGCCTGAATGTGTGTGACATTCATTCTACAAATGCATTATACACAGATCTCTAGGTTTTTGGGTGCATGAACAAAATGGTGGCATAGAATA